TGGGAAGGTTCTGGGGGTGGAGGGTGGTGACGGCTGCACGATACGGCGACTGTTCTTCGTGCTCCTGACATGTACGTTTAAAGACGGTTAAGACAGGAAATGTTACGCTATTTGTATCTTAACACGATCCATCCACCAAACTCAGAGTGTGGGCTGGGTGGGGGTGTCAAATGCTCTCCCCAAAGCCTGGCAGTCCCAAGGGTGGGGCCCAGGGGCTCCAGGACCCAGCAAGTTCTGGCTTTTGACACGGAGACAGACCGTGGGATCCCTACCAACTCCATCTGGCAGAGAAGCAAGGGGTCCCCCGAAGTCACAGAGGCCACAGGCAGCCAGGCCGGGAGGACCTATCTCTAATCCACCGCCCCCAGCCCTGGTATCAGGACCTGCTGCCACCAACCTCGGGCAGCGTCTGGGGGCTGTGGCTCCCTGGGACAGGCAAAGGCAGGGAGGGAGACACGGTGGATGCCCCATGAGCACACCCAAACAGGAAGGCTCCGAGGTCTTCTTTTATTGCTATCTTCTGCTCAAATACCACTGGCGGCCCACGTCCAGGAAGGTGGCTTTAATAAAAAACAACCAGCCAGGAGCGGTGGCTCACGCCTGTCATCCCAGCACTTTGGGAGGCTGAGGCAGGAGGATTGCCCAAGTCCAGGGGTTTGAGACCAGCCTGGGCAACTTGGCAAGACCTCATCTCTACGATAAATCGAAAAATTAGCCAGGCGTGGTGGCGCATGCCTGTGGTTCTAGCTCCTTGGAAGGTTGAGGTGGAAGGATCGCCGGAGCCCAGCAGGTTAAGGCTGCAATGGCCGTGAGAGTGCCACTGCGCTCCCACCTGGGCAACAGAGTGAGACTCTGACTCAAAACAAATAAACAAACAAAATAATCCCCCAAACCAGAAAGCTCTGTCTGTAACTCCATCTCGTTCAGCGGTCCTCCCCCCAACCACTTTCTGCTGTCGCCTGAGCCAGGCTCCCGACCCACCGGTCTTCCCTTGACCAGGCTCTTACCGGCGGCACTTTCGTGGCAGAACCTGGGGTCGGGGGCCCATCATCCCTTGGCAGCAATGGTCCGTTGGGCTCCATTTCCTTTCCTGCAAGAGAGTGGCCGGTGTGAGGACCCAGGCAGGTATGGTTGGCAGGGCCGGGCTCCCCAGGCCGGTGGCCCGGGGGGGGGCTGGCCCAGGGGGGGGGG